GCTTCATGGTTTAGGGGTTTAGGGTTTAGGGCTTTATGGTTTAGAGGTTTCAGGTAAAATGTTTAGGGTTTAGGGTAAGGAAGATGCAGAGTGAAAGGATCTAAGGACTTGGGTTCATGGGTAGCCCGGTTGAGTAAAGTGCACACCGTGAAGTTTGTAGGTTACCCTAAATCCTAAACCCTAAACCCCTAAACCTTCAACCCTAAACCCTTAAACCCTGAACCCCTCAACCCCTAAACCCTAAACCCTAAACCCTAAACCCTAAACCCTAAACCCTAAACCCTAAACCCTAGCTCTAAAGCTTTCGCTGAGAGTGCGGAGCTTGGCGCTTTTCGAGGCGTTGAGGATGTATGCGGCGGGCACGGCTTCAGGGCCTCCGGCTTTGGCGTTTTTTTGGGGGTGTTATTTATGAGAACCTCGGCTAATAGTCAAGTTCTCCACATTTGGATCCCTGTCAGGGTCCTGTGTATAAGGGTGCCGTACTATATTCGGGACCTTAACAAGGACCCTGATTTAGAGAACTACCCATGTACTGGTTTCTAGTTTATACACCGAAACCCCTCTCCAAATGTTCGGGCACCTCTCTTTAGCAGACTCACCCATCCAGGCTGTTGTGGTTGGTCCATGAAGCTCCGCGTGAGCTTTCGCAGACGCCAACCCTAAACCTTAAAGCCTAAACGGTATAAACCCTATGAGCCCTAAACCTTAAGCCCTAAGCGGTAAGCTTTATGCCTATAAACCCTAAACTGCAATTGCAAGGCCAACGCCCACCTTACAGCTTACCCAGAGTCTCCATTGTAGTTCCTTGTTTGGGACATAGCACGCTACATAAAGTATTGGTTAAGCCGGAAGGAACCACAAGGGATACTGTAGGCAGGGTTTAGGGTTTGTTAGACCGGTAGTCATAACCGAACAAATGCTGATATCGTGTTTGTGGGTAGTGGTAGCAGCACTAGTCGCCGTAGTATGAGCCACTGGCAGCGGCGGCAGCAGTAGGTTCACTCAGGCTGAAGGCTCGCAACATCAGGTGCAGCAGTGCGGTCGCGATCATGAGTGCTCTGACCTTAATTATTTAGATGTTGTTATCATCACTGCTTGCCCACCTTTTGGCATGATATATTTTCAATCGTTTAGGATCACCCGGGCGTTCCTTCATTCATAGGTCCAAGTGCAAGTGATTCTTTGATAGGTCCCTAAACCCTAAACCCTAAACCCTGAGAGTGCGCGACTAGCAGCATGCAGAAGAGTTTCGGGACACAGCCCTGTCGTGTGACAAGTAACAACCCCTTAAGGTTAGGGTTTAGGGTTTAGGGTTTACCTATAAACCCCTTCAGCCCTATCAGAGCGTCCTCGATTCTATTCTAAACCCGAAAACCGTGAAGGCAACAGCCCTTAAACGTACCCCTACCTGCCTTACCGAAAATTGTGTCTCGCTCCAGGAGTGTCGAAGTTTCGAAAACCGGGAGCATCAAGGAAGAATTAATGGAGCACACTCACACTATGCAGACTCGATCTTCTCATGACTCCCGGAGGCCTGATTCGGGCTTGTGGTTGAGAGGGTTACGGGGTGTTGGTTTAGGGTTTAGGGTTGAGAGGTTTACGGTTTTTATGCATTATGAGTTGAAAAAGTTTAGAGTTTAGGGGTTGAGGCTCTAGGGGTTTAAAACCCCGGGTCGATATTTCAGGCTTGCTGTAAGGGTGCAGGAGGCCAATGCAGCAGCATGCCTGTGCTGAAGTGTCGTAACCGCAACCAAAACTCCTGTCGTCAAGCGAGATACCAGAGTCAGAAAGAAAAGAACAACGGCTGGATGACAGGATGACGTAACTCGCTCGGAAGACGCGCAACGCGAGCAGCGAAGAGAGTAACTCGAAGCACCAACAAAAGGCCGATTGGTGGTGTCCCAGTAGTCGTCTTTGGTCTCGGTCGGTGTGCTAGGTTTTGTCATCGTGATCTTATCAGGACTCATGGTGTCGTCGTGGTGGCCCTGCTGGTGTTAGTAGTGGTGGCGGTCGTCGTGGCCGTGGCCTCCGCGGTGGTTGTGGTGGTGCTTTAGTACTTGTGCTGCTGCTGCTGCTGCTGCTGCTACTACTACTACTACTACTACTACTTTAAAATACTAGTAGCAGTAGTAGTAGTAGTAGTAGTAGTAGTAGTAGTAGTAGTAATATTAGAAATATTAGTAGTAGTAGTACTAGTAGTAGTAGTCGTCGTCGTAGTAGTAGTAGCAATAGTAGTAGTAGTAGCAGCAGCAGCAGCAGCAGCAGCACCACCACCACCACCACTGAAGAGGCACAGCCATAGGCCCTAGGCTGTCGACCCAAGCATCCGTGCGTGCGTTTTGGACAGGAGACGTGCGCTGTCGAGCAAGTTTGTCAAAGCAAAGACTGCAAAGATGGACACCAGTGGAGCGTCATGGAAGGACTGCACGGTTCTGACCCAGTGTGCTGTGATGTACACCCGCAACAAGTTTATGGCAAATCTGTTCGCGTTGATTGTTTTGGTCGACTTCCTGTGTACATGCATCGATGTTGACACCCGAGCCACCGGAGCAAACACTGGTGATGTGGTACAGATCACAGCAGACTTGTGTCTTTGCGCATATTCCATCGACACGGTTCTCGTGGTCATAGCGAAAGGACTACGGATACTTCTGGATCCGATGATGATGACCGACGCTTTTGTTCTCACCTGCGGCTATGTGGAGACACTCATGCAGTACATGGGCTACGGCGACCTTATGAGCAGTGTTGCCGTGTTCAGAATGCTGCGATTAGTACGAATCCTGCGTGTTACGAGAGTGCTAAGACGCACGGGAGGCTTTCGCGAGTTGCAGAAGCTCATCCGCATGTTGTCCACATGCTTGAAGACACTTTTCTGGTCGTTCATATTCTGCTTTGTCATGATGACGGTGTGGGCGCTCCTGATCGTAGAGCTAGTCAACCCCTTGATGGAGGAGGTTTTCCAAGATTGCCTGGAGTGTCAGAAATCAACATCTTCTGTCATGCGTGCGAACGTGCTTCTGTTCAAGACAGTGATCGCTGGCGACAGCTGGGGACAAATTTCTGTGCCCATGATGGAGGAATATCCTCTTACTGCGATTATATTCATGGGGTCCCTTCTGACGCTGGTTTTTGGCGTCATGAACCTTATCGCGCAGCCCTCAGTTTCGGATGCCCTGTGATTCAGATTGCTTGTTAGGCAACATCACACCTGCAAGTGTGGGATTAATGCGTTGGGGCAAACCCGAGTATTCCCCCGCAACTGTGACATCTCTTGCGAACGTCTTTGCTTGGGTTTCTGTGGTGCAGAATCCCCCGCAACACTGTTGTAACTTATCAGACCCCTATCCTTCCTTGCAATTCGTCGAACTAAGCCGGACCTGCACCCCCTTTGTTGGCACTTTGTCGACGGTAGCTTTTTTTCTTCTGGAAGCCATACAGCACAGGCTGCGGGCAAAGAGCAGTTTCAAGGCATTTCACGTTATCAGAAGCTGAAGTCGCCAGTAAATTGAAACTCAACCGCCAACGGCCTTTAAGGGTTTAGCCTAAACACTTTCATAAACCCTAAACCGTTTAGGGTTTATGAAAGTTTGGGGTTTAGTGGTGTCGGGTTTATTGGGCTTGAGGCATTACTGCAGTTGCCGCCTTGTCCAGGCCCTTAAAATAGGTCAGTCGAGGCAGGGTGTTGGATTGCCTCAGCAGAACAGAACAACCCTCATCTTCGCAAGAGTAGCAGAATTCTCCATCAGCTGAGAACTGTTTCACATGGCAGTGTTGTTCCGGGTCAACAAATCCTTGGTGTTCTTCTGGTTGGCTCTTAGGACTTTAACTTTTTGGTTTTCTATATAACTACAATAAGGAGACTAAAAGTTTAACTTTTTGGAGGGGTTCAGAAGTCAGCCAAGAATCCTTATCCTTATTCCTCCCAATTTCAATCCCGACACTGCTCTTCGACTTCGTGCCTGATTCGAACGCTGGTTGACTTCAACCCCGACGCATGAAAAGCGCCCGAACCCCTCATGCTCGCAAAGGGCCCTAAGTACCTAAATGAGGGATACTTACCTCTCCGAACCCTCAACCCTAAACCCTAAACCAATCCATCTTGGTAATTGATATTATCGAAACCCTAAACCCTAAACCCTAAACCCTAAACCCTAAAGAGGTCCTTAGAAGATTCTGCGGGACTGGGGTTCCCCATTAGAACTCGAAGCCCTAGAGTTAATGTAGGGGCCTTAATACTTAGAATAGGGTTTTTTGGGGGTTCCTTTACAGGGATCCTCAAAAGGGTTCTATAAGGGCTACTACAAGGGTTTAGGGTGCAGGGGCCTTAATAGTTAGAAAAGAGTTTTGGGGCTCCTTTAGAGTATAATTAGTATATTTTAAGGAACCTAAGGAATATGGGTTTTTGGGGCTCCTTTATAGTAGAAGTATAATAAGGAACGGAAGGAATTTTTATTGGGCAATTATTTAGGCTTCTATGTTAAGGCATCTGGGTTTAGGGTTTAGGGTTTGGGGTTTAGGGTTTAGGTTTGAGGCATATTCCGGCACTCCTGCAGGGCTCTGCAAGGGAGCCCGGGCAGCCAAAGCTCCCCCAAAACAAGCAAGTATCGAGCAAATGGGGGTGAGGGGGGTTTAGGGTTTAGGGTCTAGGGTTTAGGATTTAGGGGTTAGGGTTTAGGTTCTGGGGTCTAGGGTCTAGGGTTTAGGGTGGGGGGGAGGTTCTTGTTGACCTGGTTGCCCGGAATTGCTCCCCAAAACCTGGCGACCTGCCATTTTAGAACTTCCCTTCCGAAGACACCTAAGACCTAAGACTCCACACGATTCAGGGTTTAGGGTTTAGGGAAAACTCCTAAGGTGGCAGTGGTCGTGGATACGTTCGCGGAAGCTCGTCAACGAGATGCGTCTCGGGCATGACGTTTGCCAGACCACCTCCAAAATCCGCTCTTAATCCAGGGTCCTTACAGCAAAGAATGGATGTCATTGGTACGGGCTCAAGCTGTTGGGAATTAGGCGGGCTCCCTCATTACGGTGACTTAAACTATAATAACACATTTCCTTAGCAAGAAATCAGAATCTGCCTTAGAGTACTGGAGTCTGGCAAGAGAACTTTGGGCTTTTTCGAAACATCTGGGTCCGAAGTCAGGGTGTCGACAGCTACTCAAAATCCCTTATAGTCGCCCGAACCGCTTTTTCCAAACCACTTCCTTAAGGCCCCCAAAAAGAACATAAACAAAAATAGGTTAGGGATATCCCATATAAACCCCCTTATAATGAAGCCAATAAGGTAGGGATATCCCTATACAATGCTTATGCTTATGTCCTTTTTGGGTTCCTAATTCCTAAACCGGGTTTTGCAGGGGACTAGAGAGGCTTTCTTAGGGTTTAGGGTTTAGGGTTTAGGGTTTAGGGGTTTAGGGTTTAGGGTTTATGGTTCTGCTTGCACTCAGGCTGTATGGACTCTAAGGCCTCAGGTTGTGGAGCCCAAACACCTTGCTGCCACAAGACTGAAGCTTTGTTTAGAAGCCTAAACCCTAAACCCTAAACCCTAGACCCTAAACCCTAAACCCTAAACCCTAAACCCTAAACCCTAAACCCTAAACCCTTCCCGCCAATCTGTTTGTCTGGAGCCCGGGAGGCCCCTGGACTGGCCCGAAACCCTAAAACCCTAAACTTCCCTAAACCCCAAGCCCCGAAACGGGAGCCCTTATAACGGTTTAGGGTTTAGGGTTTAGGGTAAAAGCCTAAAACCCTAAAGCCCTAAGCCCTAAAGCCCAAGCCCCAAAACAGGAGCCCTTTATAAACCCTAAAACCCTAAAGCCCTAAAGCCCAAGCCCAAAACAGGAGATAAAGCAAAATAAACTAAGACCCCAATATAGGGACCTAAGTAATTGCCTATACTATTTTGGGGGTTCCTTATTATAATTACAGTGTAATGGGCCCCTCAACCCTATTCCAATTATTAAGGTCCGTATATTATAGATCCCTCAGCCCAGGTCTTGAACCTGGCGGAGGAGATGCAGAACAACGAAACCTTAGATCGCGAGCGGCTGGAACGGATCTTCAAGCGCATCTCTGCGGATTTCTGTTGGGAGTTTAGATCCATTGCCCAATGAGATAACCGGCTCTAGGATAGTAGAATGTGGGGTGTATTCTTGGAGGAGATTACTATACTAATAGGTACCCAGGACCCGATTTGTAATATAGAAGCTTGAAGAAATGCAATGCGTTCCCTTAGAGTTCCGGTTATAACCATCGTAGCATATACCCAAGCAGGCCGCCAATACTACGGAGCCCTTTCATACATCCCTTCTAGAACCCTTGAGGGTTTAGGGGGTTTTTTGGCTTCAGTAGACAATGCCGGTGTTTGCATTACAGACGCTACCACGCTAGGGGATCGCGTTTAGGGCGAGTGCAGGGTTCACGTAGTTTACTTGTTTCGACCCCTGATGAATAGACCCCGGCTGCTCTTTCGTAGTTCCACAGGCGGTGCCCTCCCTGCTACTGAGTACAGCGGTGGGTGCTGCATGAAGTAGTACCTTCTGATATGCGGTGGTGCGTGCCTCCAAACACCCCTCTAAAGGCCCCCCCCCCCACAGGTAGGAATAAAATAACAGTTACGGGCCACCTAGCTGTTATTTTACCCCTAGCCCGAATAACTGTGCTGTTATCATCTCCCCCCAATGGCTTGCGTTCAATGACAGTACCCATTCCTGCAGAATAGCATACCTGTGATGTACCCTACACCCTAAACCCTAAACCCTAAACCTTAACCGAGGCCAGCCCCCTCCCTAGACCCCTCCGAGGCCCTCCCAGACCTCCCAGACCTCCCAGACCCCCCCAACAAGGCCCGAACAAAGCCAGGGATCATTCGGCTATTCGGGATAACCCTAGGGGTTGAAGTATACAAACCGTATCTACTTCGGGGTCTAAAGTCTATAAATAGTGCCTACTTTGGGCTATTTGGAGCCCCAGGATAACTCGTCTTGAATTGATTGAGGGCTATGTGTTGTTTAGGCCACAGAGATGTATTGTTTGATGACAAGGGTATGTGTTTTTCATCCAGTATAGGTGTTATTTTATGACAGGGATAAGTGTTATGCTATCAGGGATAGATGTTATTTTTTAGCTTTGGTAAGTGTTATGTTATCCCAGAGAAGTGATCTGTTATGATAGAGATAACTGCAATTGTATGACGGTGATAACTGTGATCTTATGACGATGATACCTGTTATTTTATGGCTCCAAACCCTTGAAAGATGTACTGATAGAAGAAGCCTCTAAAGTATATACTCAGGCTAAGCTTTTCGATGTAATTCTATATCGGGTCTGAATATGGAACTTCCCTGCGCCCTAAACCCTAAACCCTAAAAAAGTAGTTATGGTAGGTTTGGTGCGAAGGGTTAAGGGTTCAGTGCGCCTTACAGTCGGCAGTTTCCAGGTATCGACACAGATGGCAGTGGCATGGTGACGTTTGATGCACCTTGCCTTTAGATACATTGTTTGGTGGGGTCTTCTAGAGGGTTTGAAACGGTTCGATAAAGGATTCAAAAAGGGTTTCTTAGAGGTTTCTATAGCGATTCTTTGAAAGGTTCAAACAGGGTTCTACAGGCTCTTCAAGGTTTTGGGCCCTAAACCCTAAGCCCTAAACCCCGGTGGTGTTCTTGGGGTTTAGAGCTCTTGTGACGTGATGTTCTTTTCAGCCTCAGCCCCCCAACATTCCCTGAAGGCCATGTGCTCAACTAGTAATATAGGGGCCTTAATAATTTTCTATAATATTTTGGGGGGTTCCGTATTATAATTATAGTACAATATGCCCCAAAACCCTATTCAAATGATTAGGCCCATACATTATATACTTTGGCCCCAAAGTACCTATATAGGGCCGACTACCTTAAGGCCATTTGGGCACATGGACTCTTGGGGATTTTTTGTTGGAGCCGTGAGAGCTCTACATCCTCAGCCATGCAAACCCTAAAGCCTTGAGTTTGTGCTTTGGCCTCGCCTTCCCTAAACCCCAAACCCAAACCCAGCCTAAACCCTAAACCTCTGAACCCCGAAACCCCCAAACCCTAAACCCGAGACCCGAACCCCAAACCCATTAGAACCCTAATCCCTACACCCCTATGGCCCTATGTAGGCCCCAAGCCGGTCCTGAGATTTGCAGGGTTTAGGATTCTAGTTTAGGGTGGTTTGGAGGAGTTTAGGGTTTAGGATTCAGGGGTTAGGGGTTGTAGAGTTTAGGGTTTAGTCTCCATTGCAGTTCCTTTGCCGGCTGCTTTCTAGGATGCTAAATTTTAACACTGATTAAACCAGAAAGGGAGCTAAAATGGCGACTACAGATACTATGGGTTGGTGATGTTGTGGAAAAGATGTCATTATGGGGCCTAGCTCCATCTCGTTCGTGGACCAGCCAGAAAACGCCACCAACCAGGACACCAACTCCAAAATGGTTCCTCGCATGTACCCCGGGATTCGGGACCAGGGTCACCATGCTTGCTCCGATTTACTGCGGAGACCTGACCAAAAGTATTCCCTCTACGCAATGGCGGGATCCCTAAACCCTATGTTTATAAACCCTAGACCGTGACACCGGTCAAACTGCCTCCCTCCAAGTACTGGCGGGATTCCGGATGTCGAGGCCAATGTGAGGCCAAAGGAATCGCTTTCTTCAAAGCGGGACACGAGCGGGGCTGTGTACGTAAATAGATTTCAATTGAATAGAACAGAAATTCCTACCTATAGTCTCCATTGCAGTTCCTCTCTTGGGTCACCTTACAGGATCCTACGTTAATATCGGTTAAACCAAAACAAGGAACGGCAATGGAGACTATAGGCTAGAGTGCAGGGGCTTTTATGGAACTACAACTTACAGTAACTTGCAGTGCTTACCTTATTCCTCACCCTACAGCCTAGACCCCAACCCCAAAACCTCAAGAAGCCCAAGAACACCCAAGTCATAGTCATAGTTCCGCAGTAACAGTATTAACAATACTGATAGTAATCATAGAAATAGACTCCGATAGATCCCTTTTGAGATTTGGGGTTTAGGGTTTAGGGTTTAGGAACCCTTTTAGGGATCCCTAAACCCGAAACCCTAAACCCTGGTGAGCACTCCACAGATTCTGCGGAAAAAAACCCCCCTCGAAAAAAAACAAAAAACGAAACCCTAAACCGGATAACCCTAAACCCTAAACCCTAAACCCTAAACCCTAAACCCTAAGCCCTAAACCCTAAACCCTAAACCCTAAACCCTAACTCGGATCACCCTGTTAGGGATCCCTTTTAAGGAAGCCCCGAAGGAACTCTTGGAGGGAGCCCGGCGGGATCCGGAATTCCAGAGCCGGCTGCGGGTGATGGACATTGACGAGGATCGAGTTTAGGGTTTAGGTAGGGTTTAGGGTTTAGGGTTTAGGGTCTAGGGTCTAGGGTTTAGGGTTTAGGTGAGGTTTAGGGTTTAGGTAGGGTTTAGGGTTTAGGGTTTAGGGACGGTATAGGTTTATAGGGTTTAGGGTTTAGGGTTTAAGGTTTAGGTGAGGTTTAGGGTTTATAGGGTTAAGGGTTTAGGCAGGGTTTTAGGGTGTTTTAGGGTTTAGGGTTTAGGTAGGGTCTAAGGTTTAGGCACGGTTTAGGGTTTAGGGTTTAGTGTGGGTTTAGGGTTTCGATTGCCTTTTGAAGGAAAAAAAGGGCATTAGGCGTAAAGGTTTGAGTCCAGGGGCTTTGGGGTTGTGCTTTAAGGGTTTAGGGGTTGAGGGTTTAGGATTTAAGGAGGTTAAGGGTTGAAGGTTTGGGGTTGAGGGGTGCGGTTGGAGTAAGGGTCTTCTAGTCGGTCGTATAGAGAAATCGAAAACAAAAATAGGGGTTCTTCTCGGATCATTCTGATAGGTGCTCAGTTCTTGGCCATTACACCAGGGTTTGGGCGATTCGTAGGTCAGACCCTTATATCAGGGTTGGGAGGTCCTTAAACAGCAACTTCCCAGGGTAAAGTGAGGCTTGCCTATGGGGTCTCCATTGCAGTTCCTTCTTATGTAGGATCCGTTAAGGCAACCCAAAGAGTAACCGCAATAATAACAAAAGACCTACAGGTACCAACAAGGTATCAAGAGGCTGATGCTTTGGATTGTAAGCTTTGGGGTTTTGACCTTCGTGGTTGGGGTGTAGCGGTAGGGTAGATGGTCACTTATCTGAAACTCCCGCATAGTCGCTCCCTTACCCCAAATGCCTGTTGAATAACCACCCGTACCCAAAACCTGTAGCCCAAAACCCTAAACCGCTAAACCCGAATGCACCCTATACTCCCCGAAACCCTAAACCCTATAAACCCTAAACAGAGTGCTACCATCTTAAAGTATCACGGATGTTTCTGAAAAAAACAAGCATTGGTGAAGATCTAGGATATCTATATGGGTGGTTGTCAAAATGATGGTCCCTTTTTGGGTCCTTATTATAATACGGCACCTATTATTTAGGGTACCCCAAAAGGGACCCTCATCTTGACAACCACCCATATAGTCTCTGAATTTTCGAGACCGCAAGTCGCGGATTTGGGGTTAGGGTTTAGGGGTTTAGGGTTTAGTTTAGGGTTTGAGGGCTTTCAGCATGCAGCGCTAGGCGTTTCGGTGATCTTGCAACAGAAGCTGACTTAAGAACATCGATTATGTTCTGCTAGGATCTCGGTTATAGCTGACTGAGGGCTTTTTATTTAACTAAACTACGGTATACTGCGAAGATTGGTGTTCATACGGCCTCAGAAGGAGGTTGAACCCGAAGCTTTGGTTCAGGTGTAGGAGGGTCCTGACTTGGTTATGAAATTATCCTGCATGACCTAAAGATTCCCAAGCCCTCCAAACCAACCCTAAAAACCTCCCTACTCGAAGCGCCACAAGAAAAAGCACGACTTGGAGTTAAACCCTACCTCGAGTCTCCAAGTGTAGCTTCTTTGTGTGGGTAGCCATCCATACTGGTTCATCAGAAGCAGGAGGAGACTACCTTAAGAACCCAAAACCTACTTGTTTGTAGGGTCCCTATAAATCCCATATTAGGGTTTATAATAAGAACCTACAAGATGCGTTTTGGGTTCTTAAGGTATAGCTGGGTTGTAGAACTTCGGGATGGCAGCCCTTTGTTGCAGCATACAAAGACTGAGCCCTAGACCCCTAGCCCCTCAACCCGAAACCCCAAAGCCCCAAAGCCCCAAACC